GGCGTTTGTGGCTGGAGCCTCCTCCTGTGGTACTTGGAGTTGGGCCTCGTATCCGTGGTAAGGGTTGCCGTGGCCTCAGCCCTGTGGTGATGGTTGCCATGGCAATGGTTGCCATGGCCGTAGCCCTGTGGCGATGGTTGCCGTGGCAGCTGGACGATCCCTAGAGTTCTCTATTTTTTTTATTCTTTTCTTGTAGAAAATTTGAAACTGGAAATAAAAAGACAACTGAACAAATGGAATTGCTCCCCCACCCCGGGAGGCTGGCATGTGTGTTTGATGGATGACACCCCCCCCCACCCCGGGAGGCTGGCGTGTGTGTTTGATGGATGACACCCCCTCACCTACAGCTGGTGACCTGAGACTGGTCCCCCCTCTAGTCTCCTTAGGCCAGCATCTCCCATAGGCTCACTGTCCCGGGGGCCTAGGTCAGAGGCTGGCTGCACCCACATCCACAATCCTTCAGGCTCCTGTTGCACCCAATTAACCCATTCTATGTCCTCCCCCTGAGGTGTCCTCCTCCATACACCCCAGCAATATCGTCCCCATAGCCCCAAGTCATGTCAACCTCCAATACACCGTCAGCCACATCAAATCCGCACAGTCTGCAGCCACGTTCCCTCCAGCCATGTCAATCACCCCCATGCACCAGTCACGTAATCTTCCAGCCACATCAGTCATTCACACACACCAGCCACACACACACCAGCCATGTCACCTACCAGCCATGTCAGTAATCCACACAAGCCACCAGCTGTGTCACTTCCAGCCATGTCAGTAATCCACACAAACCCCAGCCACATCACCTCCCAAACACAGCAGTTGTCCACCTACACTCCCAGCCACATCAATAATCCCCTGAGCCATGTAAATCATCCACATGCCTCGCCAGCCAGGCCACCCCAGGTCGTATCCATATCTACGCTCACCTCAGCCATGTCACCTCCAACCACATCAGTCATCCACACATCCCTTTCAAATCACGTCACTTTCAAACCACGTCAGTGAGCCACACACACCCCAGCCATGTCGCCTCCAACAACATCAATCATCCACACATCCCTTTCAAACCACGTCAGTGATCCAAACACACCCCAGCCATCTCACCTTCAACCACATCAATCATCCACACATCCCTTTCAAACCACGTCACTTTCAAACCACGTAAGTGATCCACCCCCCCCCCAGCCATCTCACCTTCAACCACATCAATCATCCACACATCCCTTTCAAACCACGTCAGTGATCCACACACCCCCCAGCCATCTCACCTTCAACCACATCAATCATCCACACATCCCTTTCAAACCACGTCAGTGATCCAAACATACCCCAGCCATCTCACCTTCAACCACATCAATCATCCACACATCCCTTTCAAACCACGTCAGTGATCCACACACCCCTCAGCCATCTCACCTTCAACCACATCAATCATCCACACATCCCTTTCAAACCACGTCAGTGATCCACACACCCCTCAGCCATCTCACCTTCAACCACATCAATCATCCACACATCCCTTTCAAACCACGTCAGTGATCCACACACCCCTCAGCCATCTCACCTTCAACCACATCAATCATCCACACATCCCTTTCAAACCACGTCAGTGATCCACACACCCCTCAGCCATCTCACCTTCAACCACATCAATCATCCACACATCCCTTTCAAACCACGTCAGTGATCCACACACCCCTCAGCCATCTCACCTTCAACCACATCAATCATCCACACATCCCTTTCAAACCACGTCAGTGATCCACACACCCCTCAGCCATCTCACCTTCAACCACATCAATCATCCACACATCCCTTTCAAACCACGTCAGTGATCCACACACCCCTCAGCCATCTCACCTTCAACCACATCAATCATCCACACATCCCTTTCAAACCACGTCAGTGATCCACACACCCCTCAGCCATCTCACCTTCAACCACATCAATCATCCACACATCCCTTTCAAACCACGTCAGTGATCCACACACCCCTCAGCCATCTCACCTTCAACCACATCAATCATCCACACATCCCTTTCAAACCACGTCAGTGATCCACACACCCCTCAGCCATCTCACCTTCAACCACATCAATCATCCACACATCCCTTTCAAACCACGTCAGTGATCCACACACCCCTCAGCCATCTCACCTTCAACCACATCAATCATCCACACATCCCTTTCAAACCACGTCAGTGATCCACACACCCCTCAGCCATCTCACCTTCAACCACATCAATCATCCACACATCCCTTTCAAACCACGTCAGTGATCCACACACCCCTCAGCCATCTCACCTTCAACCACATCAATCATCCACACATCCCTTTCAAACCACGTCAGTGATCCACACACCCCTCAGCCATCTCACCTTCAACCACATCAATCATCCACACATCCCTTTCAAACCACGTCAGTGATCCACACACCCCTCAGCCATCTCACCTTCAACCACATCAATCATCCACACATCCCTTTCAAACCACGTCAGTGATCCACACACCCCTCAGCCATCTCACCTTCAACCACATCAATCATCCACACATCCCTTTCAAACCACGTCAGTGATCCACACACCCCTCAGCCATCTCACCTTCAACCACATCAATCATCCACACATCCCTTTCAAACCACGTCAGTGATCCACACACCCCTCAGCCATCTCACCTTCAACCACATCAATCATCCACACATCCCTTTCAAACCACGTCAGTGATCCACACACCCCTCAGCCATCTCACCTTCAACCACATCAATCATCCACACATCCCTTTCAAACCACGTCAGTGATCCACACACCCCTCAGCCATCTCACCTTCAACCACATCAATCATCCACACATCCCTTTCAAACCACGTCAGTGATCCACACACCCCTCAGCCATCTCACCTTCAACCACATCAATCATCCACACATCCCTTTCAAACCACGTCAGTGATCCACACCCCCCCCAGCCATCTCACCTCCAACCACATCAATCATCCACACATCCCTTTCAAACCACGTCAGTGAGCCACACACCCTCAGCCATGTCGCCTCCAACCACATCAATCATCTACACATCCCTGTCAAACCACGTCAGTGAGCCACACACCCCAGCCATGTCGCCTCCAACCACATCAATCATCCACACATCCCTTTCAAACCACGTCAGTGAGCCACACACCCTCAGCCATGTCGCCTCCAACCACATCAATCATCCACACATCCCTTTCAAACCACGTCAGTGAGCCACACACCCTCAGCCATGTCGCCTCCAACCACATCAATCATCCACACATCCCTTTCAAACCACGTCAGTGAGCCACACACCCTCAGCCATGTCGCCTCCAACCACATCAATCATCCACACATCCCTTTCAAACCACGTCAGTGAGCCACACACCCTCAGCCATGTCGCCTCCAACCACATCAATCATCCACACATCCCTTTCAAACCACGTCAGTGAGCCACACACCCTCAGCCATGTCGCCTCCAACCACATCAATCATCCACACATCCCTTTCAAACCACGTCAGTGAGCCACACACCCTCAGCCATGTCGCCTCCAACCACATCAATCATCCACACATCCCTTTCAAACCACGTCAGTGAGCCACACACCCTCAGCCATGTCGCCTCCAACCACATCAATCATCCACACATCCCTTTCAAACCACGTCAGTGAGCCACACACCCCCAGCCATGTCGCCTCCAACCACATCAATCATCCACACATCCCTGTCAAACCACGTCAGTGAGCCACACACACACTTCTAGCCTCTTCACCTCCTGTCCCAAAATCACAGGTCATGTCCATGCTTTGCCTCATATGTTTC